GGCCCTGTCATTCCCGTTCCTGAAAACTCCTGGGACGCCCTGGGGCTGTCATTCCACTGTTGGCCCTGTCATTCCAGTTCCTGAACACTCCTGGGACACCCTGGGGCTGTCATTCCACTCCGTGGCCCTGTCATTCCAGTTGCTGAACACTCCTGGGACACCCTGGGGTGTCATTCCACTCTTGGCCCTGTCATTCCAGTGTCTGAACACTCCTGCTCCTCCCTGGGGTTGTCATTCCACTCCGTGGCCCTGTCATTCCATCATTCCTGCCTCCCATTGTTTCCAGTGGGTCTTCCAGCGTCTCCCTTTGTTTCCAATGGGCAATCCTGTCCTTCCTTTTAGTAGATCCCCACACACAAACACAATATACATGCAACAATACACAGTGGTATTCATCTAATCATAATGTTATATTTGCAGTATTTTATGTTAACTGTTTTATATTTTATGTTAAAATGTCTTTTCTGCCAAAATATATGCAGATGAAAAATAAAAATCATATATAATTTTAATAAAATATAATAATACTGATTTCAATGTCATACCAATAGCTGTTTCAGTGTTAATAATACAATTAATGCGGCATCAGGAAATGATGCTCAACTACAGTTACAGCTGACTGTCATGCGCTTCGCACGCGTGGGCGGACTGAGGCAGCGATTGGGCAACAGAGAAGTCCCGTTGCTAAGGCGCCTGTGGCGACCTGACCCCAATCTTGCACGAGCTTCCCTAGGAAACCCGCCCCAACCAATCTTGGTTCCGCTTTGCCCTCTACTCGATGCTCACTGGCTGCCTGGGAGGGCACTCAAACAACTAACCGGGCTCTTGCGCCTTCATTCCAGCCTATCTGCGGTTGGAGCCCGCCCACAACCACCATTCTTGTCAGTCCAAAGCGATCGATGGTACTTGCGGCAGGTGGGAATAGAATACTGGTCGTTCACCAATCACCGACGAGGATTCATCTAAGTGGGCAGTGCCGATTGTCGTCGCCGGGTTCTCGAGGAAGCAGCTGGACCAGGTGCCGGCAGGTGAGAAGAAGAAAGACGAGAACTCCATAGGGGATGAAGATGGATGTGTGTGGCGGGAGAGATGAAGATTGCAAGCTGCGGGATTTCATGGTAGCTTTTAGGAGGCTGATGGCTGCAGGTTGTGAGGGGGGGATGAAAGTGTTTGAGCTGGGTGGAGATAGAGGGTTGCATAAAGGAAGGGGGGGGGGAATAGAGAATGGATGATACTTGTATCCAGATTGATATGCTTGAAGGTGATGGGATGCAGTGGGAATGTTCAGAAGCATATTGTATGGTCATATCATATGATCGTTGTGTGAGGTAGGGCATTTATTCCAAATAGTGCCACCCCCGGGTGTTTTGCTCAACAAGCAGGGCTTATTCTCCACCTGCTGAGCCCCAAGATGCTGGCAGTGCCACCTGAGCTCAGCTTGCTCCCACAGCAAATGCAGCCCTCTCCCCCCTCCTTTTTTTTGGGTTGGCTTCTCAAGCAGATATAGTGGGGGATGTGGTAGCTGGGCCCCAAAACCTTGGGTTAGGTGATTCTGGGGACAGCCAGTTATGCATGAAAGAAGATTTTGAGCCTGGGCTGGAGGATAAAGGTTGGATAGTGTGCAGGTACAGGTCTTAAGGGGGTGATTGAGTTACATGGAGGGTGCTTAGTAGCTAGACATCGTAAGCTTTGGGATTCTGTAGATACAAAGGGTTCCATTGATTGTGGGAATAAAGCAAAGGGGTGTTTGGATGCATGCAGTATTCTATGCAGGTTCTTGGGATGAACATGGGGAAGATAACTGGGTCCAGTGAAAGCTCTGAATTCTGAAGATAGGAGAGACTGTAGTAGGCAGTGAGTGGGTGGTTGGGAAATTGCAGTGATAATTGACTCTGGGATGAAATGTGTTGTAATGGGAATGCTTAGAAATAACAGGACTAATGTGTATTAGGGGTCTGGGTCCTGGAAGTTTGGGGGGAAAGAAGCTTGGGAGAGTGCTTGGGCGTTTATTGTGAAACTTGGGTTATGGGCTGTGGGGTTGTCATGGAGGTTTTAGCAGAGGATAGGGTCAGTTCACTGGAGAGATGGAAGATTATAGTGGGGAGTGCTTAGAGATTGCTCTCTGCTCACAGTGGGGAGGCTTGGACAATCCTTCAGAAATGAAGGAGGAGGCTGAACACAAAATGAAAGGTGTTGGAAAGAAGGCTGGGGGGAGGAGTGGGCAAGGGGCAGAATTTTTGCAGTAGTTACTCTTGGGTAGTGAAGGGACGGAAGCGCTGTAATGTGGGAGATTTGGAGGTGACCATTCAATAAAGATGATGTGTGGTAATAGTACTACTCTGACACCTTCCCTCCCCAACAGCCCAGTGTTATAAATTTAAATAATCTGACTGTGTAAATTCAGCCACCAAGCGGCTGCCCTAACAGAATGGTCTGCTACTGTTTTTGAAATACTGGGAAAAGCTGGCTTCATAACTATGAAGCTGTGCCAGGAACACCTCTCTGCCTTCCCTTGGTACACAGACTTGTCACACAGATCTAGGAGCCAGTTCACACATGGCAGGCCCCATTTTTAGTTGCCATGTAATTGCATAAGTGAGAAATGTTAGTGTGATCTAGTCAATGCATGACAACCCCCCCCCCCATCCTGCTGTAGCCATTTCCACAGTTGCTGCTGCTTGTTCTGCCTCCACAGCTACAATCTGGTCATGTTAATGTTTCCCACGTAATTGTGCATTTGCATTCACAGCTGTGCAGAGAATGTAACGGAGGTTTGCTTGTGTGAAATGAGCTCAGTCTATTTTAAGGGATTGCTCAGTGTGTGAAGGAACATTGAGGAGGTGGATGATCTGAGAATTGTTTGTGATCCGAGGAGCAGTGAGGTGAGGGCTGTGGGGAGATGACTATTGAGCTTTGGGGATATGGCATGGTGTGGACTTGCTTTGGTTTGGACAGGTGAGCATCTTGGATCATGGCAAAGGACTCCCTAAACAAATGTCTGTTGCTCTCTCTAAATCATATTTCTCAGGGTCTCTCCCTAGACTCGAAGTATCATCGAGTACTGCTTTGCTTGGGCAGAGCGTCTCCATCATCCGTCCTTTTCTCGGACCAGCCATGATCCACAGCCTCTTCCTGATTAACTCATCCGGTGATATCTTCCTGGAGAAGCACTGGAAAAGTGTGGTCAGTCGCTCAGTCTGTGACTACTTCTTTGAGGCCCAGGAGCGAGCTTCAGAGGCCGAAAATGTGCCCCCTGTGATCCCCACCCCCCACCACTATCTCTTGAGTGTTTATCGGCACAAGATCTTCTTTGTGGCTGTGATCCAGACAGAGGTGCCCCCGCTTTTTGTCATTGAATTCCTTCATCGGGTTGTGGACACTTTTCAGGTAAGTACCTACATCTTATTAATTTAGGGTACTTCCACACAATACAGTTTTTACACAGTACAGTTTTCAGGTGTACACGGAAGTCAAGAATACACCATTAAAAGAAGCCATAATATGTGCATGCAGCCAACATTGTTTGCAAATGCACAGGTACACTTGTTAAGGGACCTAGGGTTCCCAAGTACATACCGTGATCCGGGGGGGGGGGGAAACGTGCTCCCCGACCGGACCATTCCTCCCTGTAACACAGCATGCCGTTGCTAGGAAGTGATGCTGGGCGACGCTCTGGCAATGGGGCTGAAAACTCTATGGTACCATCGAGTTTCGAGCCCCATTGCCAGAGCGTCACCCAGCGTCACTTCCTGGTGACGGCATGGTGCGGGGCATCTGTTGTCCCCGCAGGAATGATCCTGCAAAGTCTTCTGTGTCCCCTGCCGAATCACGGTAAGTACTTGGGAAGCCTGAAGGGACCAGAGTTGGCTACACCTTATGAATGTAAACTGAGTAGCAAACCCATATTTGTTTTCATGATGTATGAAACACTCCTTTATTCACAGTTTGAATTTCTATGTAAAAGACCCCATATTTCTGTCTGTGCTTCTGTATATGTGTATGGTTGTTGGAACTACTAACAGTCCCTGGTTTAATGATCAGAACATATGGTTGGAAGCAGTCCTATAGATATGAAGGTCATAAAGGTTAACACCAAGCACCTTCAATTGATCATGGAGGATAGTCTGTTCAAAATGCTTAGTTCCTGACAGTAGACTGGCTGTGGCATTCTACACCAGCTGTTCTTTAGGTGGTGTTTTCAGGAGCAGCCCCATCTAAAATGTGTTATAATAGTCCAGCCTCAAGGTTACCATAGTATGGATTAGTGTGAATGTTGAAGGCAGCTAAGCATCAAAGGGAGGGGGAGAGCCAGTTTGGCGTAGTGGTTAAGTGCGCAGACTCTAATGTGGGAGAACCGGTTTTGATTCCCCACTCCTCCACTTGTACCTGGCTGGATGACCTTGGGCAAGCTGTAGTTTTGGCACAGCTGTTCTTGAAAAAGAGCAGTTTCTCTCAGAAGCTCTCTCAGCCCCACCTACCTCACAAGGTGTCTGTCGTGGGGAGGGGAAGTGAAAGGAGTTTGTAAGCTGCTCTGAGACTCCTTTGGGTACCCTGCTACTTGGTATAAATCCAATCTCTTCTTCTTCTTCTTGGAGAAGAGGAAACTGAATTGCTCAAGGCCTAAGAGCTAGGATCCTGAAAAGCATGAAACATGCATTCACCTTAACATTTAACATAGGGAGAAGGAGGTGAAAATACTTTGGCCACTTTGGGCCAAACGATGCAATACTTTTTAAATGTTAGATTTGGGGTTTAGAGGTCTGCAGGAGCCCAGTTAAGCTCTGGACACCATGTGGGTTCCTGTTAGACGCTCTGGTTTTAGCTTTGTAGAGGTGACAGTGGGGCATTCTCCATTTCTCTGGAACTCTGGTTATGAGCCAAACAACTGCTTCTGCTACTTGGGGGAGTAATTAGCATAGAGGAACTTAGCAATAGATATTCACTAGTTCACAAACACACTGGGTCAGAAGACAGGCAGCTAGCTTTACTGTATTTCTGACCAACCATATTAGTACAAAAAACAGTCTTGCTGCTCTGTTTGGTGAGATTCAGGATCAACTAAGTAAGTGAGCTCCATTTAGCTTCAAACCTTTAGGCCAAACTACACAATATGTTTTTTAATGCCTCAGACCCATGCTTTTGCAGCTCCAAAATGGGGCAAATGGCAGGGAAGAAGGCAGAATCTAAGCGGTAAATATGATTTTGTTCCTTCTGTTTCCTCCCTTTGTATCCTCAGCTTCCCTATGAGACGGGTTAGGCTGAGCAAAAGTGACTTTCCCACAGTCACCCTGTGAGCTTCATGGCTGAGCTGGGATTGAACCCTGGCTACTCATTCCACAGCAGAACACTGGGGGGAGAGTGTTAGGAGGAGGATATGGGCAGGGCCAGACTTTCCATTAAAGAACACAAAGCAGAATATCTCTGAGTGCAGAGTTTAGGTAAAGGTAAAGGTTCCCTTGCTCGAAAGCCAGTCGAATCCGACTCTAGGGTTGCGGTGCTCATCCCCGTTTCAAAGCCGAAGAGCCAGCACTGTCCGAAGACTTCTCCATGGTCATGTGGCCAGCGTGACTAAACACCAAGGCGCACGGAACGCTGTTACCTTCCCACCGAAGCGGTACCTATTTATCTACTTGCAATTTCTTGCTTTCGAACTGCTAGGTTGGCAGGAGCTGGAACTAGAGATGGGAGCTCACCCCGTCTTGCGGCACCCGGGTCTCGAACTACTGAACTACTGACCTTCTACAGCCTGCAGTTCAGCGTCTTAACCACTTGAGCCACCGCAGCTCCGTGCAGAGTTTAGGCACCACTAAAAAGGCACCAGTTTGTCAGCTATTTAATTCATTATTATATTTTCACTGGCCAGTTGGTGAGGAGCCATTTGGGTTTTCCACCTTAGGCCAGAAAATATTTTTGGAAAGCACAATGTAAAAGAGTTGTCAAGGGCAGCCTATGGCTGTCCTTTCTTGATCATGGGATTAGATTATGCTTTTTGATCTCTGACCTCCAATTCAGAGATTCCCGTTTGGCAAAAGCCGCGTTCCCAGAGAACAAGTCCTGCCTGCCCAGTCATGAGAATGCAGGAGTGTTGGTATCCTCAGGCTTTTGGAACACAGACCTCAGTTGTTTGCTTTGCAGCACTCATAATCAAGGTATTTGAAATTTCTCATGACTCAAAACTACAGCCAGGCCCAGTTTACTGCTCCCCCCCCCACCAAATCTCTCAGAGTGTTTAAAGGAGTTTGATGGGAGACCCAGAAAAATTGGTTCAACATTAGATGCCATTTGGTTGTGGTGCACTATCATTCATAGCCATGCAGATTCCTAGATCTTCCCCATTTACAATAAGCTGAAAATGGTATATCTTGACTCGTGTCTGTAATGCAGATAAGTACTGCTGACAAGAAGGGTCGTAACTGTGAGTGTATGAAGAACTTTGTATAAGACCTGCTTTATACAAGAAACAGAATGGAGCAATAATGAAGTATTAAAGTGCTGAAGTGCTAGAATGGCTTGTACTACTTGAGGCTGCAGGGGAGGGCTTACATTGTTTTTGAAGTTTCCCGTATGTTAATAGTTCCCTATAAGTAGGCAGTAACACTCCATGCAAAGAGCAAGGCTATGGTTCTTCTCACTGATGTGGTGGGGGTTTTTTTTGCTGGGTGTTTTTACACAAGAGAGCATTAAAATGTGACTCTCCCTGACTACAGTCTTTTATTTTATTCTATTCTGTTCATTTATACTCTGCCTTTCTCCCCAATGGGGACCCAAGGTACCTTCCCTCATTCTCCTCTTCTCCATTTTATCATCACAACAACCCTTTGAGGTAAGTTAGGCTGAGAGAGTGTGACTGGCCCCAAATCACACCAGTCTGTAGTGGTACAGCCCATTCTGTCGTCTCAGGAGTTGATCACCTCATTATGGCACATGGGTGTAGATGATGTGAGCAAGGGAGACCCCCAAGTCACCAAGGGCTGCATGCAGATTTGATCTTGGGTTTCTAGGTCTAATACCCTTGCATTGCATTGATTCTTGTTTCTTTGATGGCTTTGACCCTCTTGGAGAAATATAAATAAAAACTAGGAGGGAGTCTTGTAAGAAACCCTTTTTTTGTCCCTGCCATTCTGGTCAAGGACTTCAAAAGCCCTGGGGTGATTAGCAATTGGATACTTGCTACTTTGAAAAAAAATCATAAGTTGAATTCCATTTTATTAATTTTTAAAGGTACGTAATTTTAAATATATTGAGATTCCTGGTAGTTGGGTTTTCTGTTGCACTAATTTGACTTACGATCTCCACCCACTGATTATCCTTCGGGCCCATTTCATGACAAACGTTCTAGCTAAATGCCTCCTGGCAAGTGAGAAACAGTGATCAAATTTGAGTTGTAACCTGATGAGCCTTCAGCCAGATGAATGCAGGGGAAAAGGTCTCTTATCTAGGCCTCCTTCATTATTAATGTGCACGGTTTCTTCTCCAGTTACCATTGGGGCTTCTTGTCTGTTGTAAAAGTAAAGACAGCTTCTGATGTCCATGAGCAGGTGGGGGAGGCAGTACTTTGGTCAGGGCCAGCCCAAGACACTTTTGATACATGAAGTAAAAGGCTTCTTCTTGACCATTTGCCTATATAATTATATTCTGCCCTTCCTTCAAGGAGTTAAGAACATGGCTCTTCTTTCCTCCATTCTATCCTCCCAAATGATCCTGCAAGGTGTGTTAGGGTGAGAAAGTATAACTGGGCCCAAAGTCATCATGTGAGCTTTGTAAAAGAGCAGGGATCTGAATCCAGGTCTCCGTACTCCTACAAAAAAAAAACCCATTGTATCACATAAGTTAAATAACATGGCACACAATCCAGAGAGAAGTTCTCCTTTAGAAATCTAGTTGGTGATGAATGGGAGCTGTGCTAAAGCATGGGTCAGATAACCCGGGGAAGTTCAGGCCTCCTGTCATGGTAGAATTCTCTTCAGTACTTGAGCAGAACTTTGCGCTGAATTATGGCCCAATGAATAGAATTGCCTGTCACTTGCCCTTAGCGACCCTCAACATCTGCTGTCTGAGCGGAACTGTCTTTCCTTACCTCATGACAATTCCAGTTTTGCTTCTTGAAGGGGATCTTTGCTGGTCTGCTTCAAGGCCCTCAGTGTTTAGGCTAGTTAATATTTTTGTTTCTTTTCACAGGATTATTTTGGAGTCTGCTCTGAAGTAGTCATCAAGGACAATGTGGTGGTGGTCTATGAGGTCCTGGAGGAGATGCTGGACAATGGATTCCCACTGGCTACCGAATCCAACATTCTGAAAGAGCTAATCAAGCCACCCACCATCTTGCGAACGGTTGTCAACACAATTACAGGTCAGTTAACAGACCCCCTTTGTCCCTGAAAAGCATTCTGGGAAGCACACAATCTAAGGGGGCTCATTTGTCTGGGCACGGCCTCAAACCTTGGATTTCCTGGAGTGCTTGACACACAGTTCTTTGAACCAGGGAAGAACTAGTGTTAAAAAGATTTCAACTGCCTGATCTCATCAGATCTCGGAAGCTAAGCAGGGTTGACTCTGGCAAGTACTTGGATGGGAGATCTCCCTGGAATGCCAGAATTCGGGAGGTGGGGGCAGGCTTTATTCAGCCACCTCTCTGAATATCCTCCAGGCTCCCAGTAGGGGTAAGTCACCAGAGGTCAGCATGACTTCAGGTGCATGCACACTCACATGCACACGCACATACACACATATTAAAAATATACAAAAAATAAAAGATTTCAGCTGGGCTACCGGCTGCAATAGAGAGTAGAGTATGGAAGTTTGTAGTTCATTCAGGAAATAGGCTCTTCCAGGTGGAGCAGAAAAGTCCCCCTGAAATCCATGGGGCCTATTCAGAAGTACATTGAGTAAGTACCCTGTTTCCCAAAATAAGACCTACCCCAAAAATAAGCCCTAGCAGGATTTCTATGCATTTGTGGTATAAGCCCTACCCCGATAATAAGACCTAGTGATGAGAGTTATGATGATGTTCCAGAAGAAGATGACTTAACTGTATTTGAATAAATGTAGATTGTTGTATTATACTTACTAAAAATAAGACATCCCCTGAAAATAAGCCCTAGTGTGTCTTCTTGAGAAAAAATAAATATAAGACAGTGTCTTATTATCGGGGAAACACGGTAAGGATGAGATCTTCCATCAGCCTTCTTGGCCCTTACCTGATGGACACCATCAGTGGCCAGTCATCCTGCGGTAGTGGAGGCATAAGAACATAAGAACATAAGAGACGCCAATGTTGGATCAGGCCAAAGGCCCATCCAGTCCAACACTCTGTGTCACACAGTGGCCAGAAATACCAGTGCCATCAGGAGGTCCAGCAGTGGGGCCAGGACATTAGAAGCCCTCCCACTGTTGACCCCCCCAAGCACCAAGAAGACAGAGCATCACTTGCCCCAGAGCCCCTAGCTATACCTTGTGGCTAATAGCCACTGATGGACCTCTGCTCCATATGCTTATCTAATTCCCTTTTGAAGCCATCCATGCTTGTAGCACCCACCACTTCCTGTGGCAGTGAATTCCAAGTGTTAATCACTCTTTGGGTGAAGAAGTACTTCCTTTTATCCGTTCTAACCCGACCGCTCTGCAGTTTCATGGAGTGCCCACGAGTTCTTGTATTGTGAGAAAGGGAGAAAAGTACCTCTTTCTCTACCTGCTCTTTCCCATGCATAATCTTATAAACCTCGATCATGTCACCCCTCAGTCGTCTTTTCTCCAAGCTAAAGAGCCCTAAGCGCTTTAACCTTTCCTCATAGGGAAAGTGTTCCAACCCTTTTATCATTCGAGTTGCCCTTTTCTGCACTTTTTCCAAAGCTATAATATCCTTTTTAAGGTGTGGTGACCAGAACTGCACACAGTATTCCAAATGAGGTCTCACCATTGATTTATATAGGGGCATTATTATATTGGCTGATCTGTTTTCAATACCCTTCCTAATAATCCCCAGCATAGCATTGGCCTTCTTTATTGCAGTCACACACTGTCTCGACATTTTCAGTGAGTTATCCACTACAACTCCAAGATCTCTCTCTTGCTCAGTCTCTGCCAGTTCAGACCCCATCAATGTGTATTTATATTTAGGATTTTTGGCTCCAATGTGCATCACCTTGCACTTGGCCACATTGAACCCCATTTGCCATGTTGACGCCCACTCGCCCATCCTTGACAGATCCCCTTGGAGTGCCTCACAATCCTCACTGGTTTTCACCACCCTGAACAACTTTGTATCATCCGCAAATTTAGCCACTTCACTGCTTACTCCCATCTCCAAATCATTAATGAACAAGTTAAAAAGCAGTGGACCAAGTACTGATCCCTGCGGTACCCCACTGCTTACCACCCTCCACTGAGAAAATTGCCCACCTACACTCACTCTCTGTTTTCTATGAACTAGCCAGTTTTTGATCCATAAAAGGACTTGTCCTTCTATCCCATGATTTTTGAGCTTACTTAGGAGCCTTTGATGAGGAACTTTATCAAAAGCTTTCTGGAAGTCAAGGTAAATAATATCTATTGGATCCCCCTTGTCCACATGTTTGTTCACCCCCTCAAAGAACACTAACAGGTTAGTGAGACAAGATCTTCCCTTACAGAAACCGTGCTGAGTCTGCCTCAATAGGTTTTGTTCATCTATGTGCCTACTAATTCTTTCCTTAATAATGGTTTCCACCAATTTACCCGGTATCGACGTCAGACTGACTGGCCTGTAATTTCCCGGATCTCCTCTGGAACCCTTTTTAAAGATGGGAGTGACATTAGCTACCTTCCAATCCTCAGGAATGGAGGCAGATTTTAAGGAAAGATTACATATCTTTGTCAGGAGATCTACAAGTTCACATTTGAGTTCTTTCAGAACTCTCGGATGTATGCCATCTGGGCCTGGTGATTTTTCAGTTTTTAAGTTGTCTATCAGTTTTAGGACCTCCTCTCTCATCACCTCAATCTGACTCAGGTCTTCCAACACCCCTCCTGAAATCAGTGGTTCTGGAGTGGGCAAGCACTTCTCATCTTCCACAGTGAAGACGGAGGCAAAAAATGCATTTAGCTTCTCAGCCATTTCCCTATCATCCTTCAATACTCCTTTTACCCCTTGGTCGTCCAAGGGCCCCACTGCCTCCCTGGCTGGTTTCCTGTTTCTAATGTATTTGAAGAAAGTTTTATTGTTGGTTTTTACGTTTTTTGCTATATGCTCCTCATATTCCCTTTTTGCCTGCCTGACCTCAGACTTGCATTTTATTTGCCATAGCCTGTGTTCCGTTTTATCAGCCTCACTGTGACTAGCTTTCCACTGCTTAAAGGAATTCTTTTTACTTTTTACAGCCTCCATTACTCTGTTTGTTAACCATGCAGGCTTTTTCCTATACCTGTTTGTGCCTTTCCTAACCTGCGGAATATATATTTTTTGAGCTTCTAGGATCGTAGTTTTAAATAGATCCCAAGCTTCCCCAATTGTTTTGACCCTTTCTACTTTTCCTTTCAGTTTCCTCCCCACGTGTCCCCTCATATCAGAGAAATTACCCCTTTTAAAGTTAAAAATGGTTGTGTGAGTCTTTTTGGCCAATTCTCTATTTGTACAAATGATGAACTCAACAACATTATGATCACTGTTTCCAAGCGGTGCAATCACTTTTACATCTCTCACCAGGTCTTGAGTGTTACTTAGGACCAAATCAAGGATCGCCTCTCCCCTGGTAGGTTCCGTGACCATCTGCTCCATAGCACAGTCATTTAGAGTGTCTAGAAACTCAATCTCTTTTTCCCGACTAGAACACATATTGACCCAATCAATGTGTGGGTAGTTAAAATCACCTATTATTACACAGTGTTTTTGTCTAGTTGCTATCTTTAAGGCATTCATCATTTTATAATCCTCCTCTATCTTTTGATCTGGTGGGCGATAACAAACTCCCAGTGTTAAGTTTCCTTTTGGCCCCCCTATTTCAACCCATAGAACTTCCAGAAGCGAATCCAATTCACTTAGCCTCTCAATCTTTCTAGACTTTATACCCTCTCTGACATACAGAGCTACCCCACCTCCAACCCTTCCCCCCCTATCCTTCCGATATAATATATAACCGGGAATCACTGTGTCCCACTGATTTTCCTCATCCCACCAAGTTTCAGAAATACCCACAATGTCTATTTTTCCCTCCGACACCAAGCACTCCAACTCCCCGATTTTACCTCGGACACTTCTAGCATTTGTATAGAAACAGCTGTAATTTCCCTTACAAGTTAAGCCTGCATCCTTCCTCTTGCTATCTCGAGTCGTTGTCCGGCAGTCCATGTCACCAGCCATGGCCTCTGTGGACAATTTCAATCCACCTCCCTGTAGAAAAGCAACCGGTACCCCCTCACCTCTCTCAGATGAGCCAACCCGAACCAGAGACTTTTCATCTCCTGTCGGCTTTCCCCCAATATTCAGTTTAAAAGCTGCTCTGCCACCTTTTTGATTTTAAGTGCCAGCAGCCTGGTTCCTTCTCGGGACAAGTGGAGACCGTCTCGCCTGTACAGCTCCCTCTTGTTCCAAAAAGTATCCCAGTGCCTAACAAACCTGAACCCTTCCCCCCTACACCATCGTCTCATCCACGCATTGAGACTCCTGATCTCTGCCTGTCTCTCCGGCCCTGCGCGTGGAACAGGTAACACTTCTGAGAAGGCTACCTTGGAGGTCCTGGACCTAAGTTTCCTGCCCAGCAGCCTAAATTTCTCCTCCAGGACCTCACGACTGCATTTCCCCACATCGTTGGTGCCGACATGCACCACGACCACTGGCTCCTCCCCAGCACTATCTACCAGCCTATCTAAAACACGCGTAATGTCCGCTACCTTCGCACCAGGCAGGCAAGTCACCATACGGTCAGTACGCGGGTTCGCCACCCAGCTGTCTACCTGCCTAAGGATCGAATCACCCACTACCAAGAGCCCCCCTCCCACCCTGCTCAGGGATGGTTCCTTGGTGCAAAAGGAGAGCCGCTCACCAGCTGGGGAAGAGGTCCCTTCTGAGGGCACATTCCCCTTATCCTCAGCATGGTGCCCTGTTTCCCCTAGACCCTCATGCTCCCTGACAGCAGCGGGGCTGCCAGATCCAGAGTGGGACGAAGCTAACAAGTCCCCGAGAGTCTTTTCTGTGTGCCTAGCTGACTGTCTCTGCTTCTCCAGGTCAGCCACCTTGGCCTCAAGGGAGCACACACGTTCCCTGAGAACCAGGAGCTCCTTGCACCGAGGACACACCCAAGACTTCTGCCCAGTGGGCAGATAGTCATACATGTGACACTCCGTGCAAAACACTGGATAGCCCCCAACCCCCTGCTGGCATTCTGGCTTCATAATTCTTTTAAAATAAATAAATATAATCCCCCTTTTAAACCCTTGGTATTTATGTGGGTTTTGTTATCAAGTCAAATTATTTTACGGGAAAGACAAAGAGCCTAGGGCCTTGTCTTTCTGGCTCTTTTTGGGCTTCTTACAGCGCCCCTAGTCTAAGAGTCCCTAGGCTAAGAGCCACAGGCAAAGAGCCCTTTAGCTCACCCTTCGGCTCGTGCCAGAGGCTCGTGCCTCTGCCAAGGTGTTTCCTTAAATAGAGGCCTCCCCCAGCAGAGGTCAGGCAGCAGCTATTCAAATTCAAATTCACCCAGGCACTCAATCACAGGCAAAACAATGCCCCTTCCACTTCCTCTCAATTACAGGCAATCCCAGTCAAACAGTGCCCGTTCCTCTCCCACACTCAATCAGCCAGGACTCTGCAAGAACTCTAAGTGCTTCCACACACTGCTAAACACAGTTTTCCCACAAAATATCCTTAGCTGAATTCTCTCAGCTGAAAGCAAGTAAAAGAAACCCACTCACCTCTCTCACAGCTCTCTCTCCTGCTCCTGCTCAGAGCTGTGCCAGAGGCTCGTGCCTCTGCCAAGGTGCTTCCTTAAATAGAGGCCTCCCCCAGCAGAGGTCAGGCAGCAGCTATTCAAATTCAAATTCACCCAGGCACTCAATCACAGGCAAAACAATGCCCCTTCCACTTCCTCTCAATTACAGGCAATCCCAGTCAAACAGTGCCCGTTCCTCTCCCACACGCAATCAGCCAGGACTCTGCAAGAACTCTAAGTGCTTCCACACACTGCTAAACACAGTTTTCCCACAAAATATCCTTAGCTGAATTCTCTCAGCTGAAAGCAAGTAAAAGAAACCCACTCACCACTCTCACAGCTCTCTCTCCTGCTCCTGCTCAGAGCTCAGCTGGAGAACAAGGCCCCTTTCATTGTACAGCAGCCAGAACACCAAATTGTACAGTGTTGCCAATAAAGTGCTAGATCCTATTAATGTATGTTCATTCTTTTATTAGTGCGAGCTGCCTTATGAGCCTTTCAAACTAAGAGTGCATGATACAAATCTCTTAAATATATCACACCATGGGATGTTCATCAAACATCTCTTCCCAAAGAATCCATGGGCTAGATCGATTCAATCAATGAGAACATTTTTTCCACAGGCATCACATCATGTACAGCATTTTGGACAGCTGTTTTCCCATAGTTGGTTTTGGTCTATGGTCACTTTTGGTTAAGAACCCCATGTAGTGGTTCTTCCTGAACTGCACAAGGGGTCAGTTCTCTGAGAGCTCCAGGGCATGGGTCAGCTCTGCTGGTCCTGCCTTCAGGTTTTCAAACCTCATCAGGGTTGTCTGTAATTGGCATCAACCTACTTGAAAGGACAACTTCTTGCATTCATCTCAGGTCTTCAGTTAGGATAAAGCTCAGTGTGAGGTTGTGCCTGTGTTTGGAGAGCATATCCATAATGTCAGATTTGCTTGATGCAGGTTGACTTGTGAGTAGATCCAATTGATGTCAGGGGAATTTACCTGCAAGATGGTATTTCTTGGGTGATTCATTATCAGGCAGCTTCCACTTGAAATGTCATGTTGGAAAGACATGTTTTGGCACCCCAGTGCTAAGGTAGCCTGTGACTATTGTATGGCTGGGAATTTTGCAAGTGGAAGTGAAATCTATTCTTTAGTTAGTCAAGGTGACTACTTCTGTATTTCCAGCCTTCTTAATCCAGGGCCGCAAAATAGTTTGTGTGTCTAGGACTGGCAAGACCCATCCTTGCTTGGGTGAACTTGGGCCTATTGTGCTCTAGCAGCCAGACCTAACTCACAGTATCAGAAGAAGTAAGCAGTGACTCATGAAAGCTCATACCCTGCCACATATTTTCTTCGTCTTTAAGGTGCTACTGGACTCTTGCTCTTTTCTACTGCCACAGGGTTGTTGTGAGAAAGGTGGAGACAGTCATGTATACCACCTTGATCCCCTTGGAGGAAGAGTGAAATAAGAAATGTAATAAGTAATAAATCCTTTCAGGCAGCACCAATGTAGGAGAACAACTCCCCACCGGGCAGCTGTCCGTGGTACCCTGGCGACGGACTGGCGTGAAATACACCAACAACGAGGCCTATTTCGATGTGATTGAAGAAATAGATGCTATCATTGACAAATCAGGTACAAGATGCTGCATTTCCATGGTATCTTTCCAAAGGGGCAATGTATTTGAAATCTCCTGCAGTCTCCCCTCTCCAAAAATGACTTGCCAATTGCTCTTTAATATACATTTTGAATTGTAGCCTTTAGCTGCTCTTGTCCATAGCAGCTTCCATCAGGTTCATGGTTTCCCTCATGATCTACACGGTTTTTGTTTTCTGAGGCAGGTTCCACAATTACAGCTGAAATTCAAGGGGTGATTGATGCATGTGTGAAACTGACTGGGATGCCAGATCTTACCCTCTCCTTCATGGTAAGTGGGAAGGAATTCTCGATGGGCTGCTGAGAATGGAGTGGGCCTTGTCAAACAGACCTTCTGAAGCCATCATGATACAAAATAAAGAGAGGGCAGAGGCAGTAAACTATTGTGGAAGGTGGGAAGTCCAGAGTTTAGTAGGTTCTGGAGATGTGGGTAGAATGTAGTGCTGGGTGTACGGTGGGTAGAGAAGGGAGATAGGGCTTGAGGAAGGAGAGAAAGCTTAAATTTCTGGAATGGAATGGGGTAACGAAGACCGTTAGAGGCATCCCACTGGACAGGGAATTTCAGTGAGGGCAGAACATAAACCAGTGTGATCTGCCAAGAAGTTTGATGTTTCCCCCCCCCCCCTGTTTATTTCAGAACCCCAGGTTGCTGGATGATGTCAGCTTCCATCCTTGCGTGCGTTTCAAGCGGTGGGAATCAGAACGAATCCTCTCCTTCATCCCTCCAGATGGGAACTTCCGCCTGCTTTCCTATCACGTCAGTGCTCAGAAGTAAGGGGGTTGGGAATCAAAGTAATGGATTCTGGCATCTTGGATTTTTTTGCCCATCTTAAAAAAGGTTTAAAAGAAACTGATCATTCATTTCTCATATTCAGCTCACATTCAAATATCAGCAGCAAGCTTGCCAGCAGCTTGTCTTCCTCTATAAAAAAGACATGGGTGCCCTTTAGTACAGAGTTTCTAGATTATTTTCCAACTCAGCAAGGTGACGGGGGTCAGATACTTGTTGGGGCTCCAGTCAACAACTGTCTTTCCTGTGTGGTTGAGTTCTCAGCTGGAACTCAGTCTGGAGAAACTGGATTAGATTAATCTCTATCGAGTTTCGGTTTCAACAACTCGCGGACGGACGCATTCCATCAAGCTCCGATGGGTGTGTTTCGGATCGGGGTGGCAGGGAGGGAGATCGGACGTATTCGATCTCCCCTGAAGTCCTTGTAGAGGGCTTCTAGCCTGGAGCACTGGAGGAACCGCTCCCGAAGCCACGGCTGGGGGATTGAGGCTCCTTTTAGCTCCTTAAGGTCCCGCTATCCCAAAGCCAGCAATGGCAACAAGAGACGTTACTGGACCAGAGCATGCAAGAACCTAAGTCAAAGAGACTCCCCTCATATGAAGACATTCAGCGGCAAAACGTGAGTGAAGAAGTTTCAAAAAGACAGACAAGCGTAAAGTGGGCGTGGGAAGATCCGGGACTACTTCCGATATAGCTGGTACGATTTCTGAAGCCTTGCACCCCCTGCTGGACCAGCTGACGAATCTCAACAAGAAATTTGATGATTTGCAGAAAGAACTGAAAGATACCAAAGTAAGATCAGAGAAGACTGCCCAAAAGCTGAAAAAGGTTGAATGTAAGACCAAAGAATTGGACCAAAGAATGGATGTAGCAGATAAAGACAGAGCTTCTAAAAAACAACAATTACTTCAACTACAAGTGGAAAGATCTTTATATGTTTTAAGATTTCAAGGGGTCCCATGAAAAAAAGATGAGAATCTGAGAGAGATCCTAAGTGAAGCACTGGCTCCCCTGATCAACAGCAAACATGATTTACAGAACATATGCAGAGTTTGTGAAGAAAAATAACCTTCCTGGAGAAATATTTGTTAAATTTGCAAAAAGATCAACAAGAGATTTGATACTTAAAGCGACAACTGAAACAATATTAAAAATTCAAGAGGAAGAAATAAAGATCTTGAAAGATGTTCCATTTGAAATACGTAAAAAGAGAAAGCAATACAGAAATATTACAACAATTCTTCAAAGAAACACCATTCAGTATCAGTGGATTTTACCAGAAGGACTTATACTCAACTATAAAGGCAAAAAGGAAAAGATTGACTCTCTCACCAAAGCAGAATTGTTTTTGAAGCAGCATCAGAGTCCAGCAAAAGAAAAAGAGAAAGTAGGGGAAGAGAAGGCTACAGAAAAAAAAGCGAACAACAGGAGATAGTTAGCGACAGTTCCTCCTCTACCTCTGTATCTTTGGGTGAGATCTTTGACTCTGACTCTGAACTGGGGGAGGCTGCTCCCGGATCATACGAGATTAAAAAACCCTGGCAAAAGAAGAAGAAGCATAAAGATAAGAAGGCATCTAAATGAAGATCTGAGATTCTTCTATGTTAAGATTTATAGAATCTATATATCTAATAGCCAACTTACCCCCGGAGTGCGGATCGTTAGATCCGCGCTCCGGGGGCAGCTGGGGGGCCGGGGGAGGTTTGTGCACACGTGGGCCAGTCCCCACGTGTGCACAAAAATAAAAAAAGTTAAAAAAAATTTCGGGGGGATGTTTAAATCCCCCCGAAAGTGCAAGAGCGTTCCGTGCACACGCGCACAGAACGCTCTGCTGCGGGCCTCGCCGCCGCCGCTTCGGAGC